CGAAATCAGCTTTTATCTCGATAATAAATCGATATTCAGCCAAACGAAGTATGCAGTGCTTTGTTTCATTATAAGGCCTGCCTAACTTGAGAATATGAGCCGAATCGATTTTTCGGCTGTTGCCACCATATTTCGAAAATGTTCGACTTTTGGCCACATTTGCGTGTCTACGAGTCGTGATACATGCCATCTCACCGATTTCAATGAAACTTTTTGCTAGTTCAAAGGATCTACCCCAAAACTCAAAATGACAAACTGGTTTCTGCTTTGGTTATTTTCGGGGGGGAGATAGACCACCCCCCCTGCTTTTTTTTAGGTTTTCACTAAAAAATGGCTTCAAAATAGCTAAAATGTAAGAAGCTCTTACTGCAACTGTATTTAACAAATTACTGTGACGGTTTGCATACATATTAAAAAAAACTCTTAGTACTTTGTGTACTAAAATTTTACTTTTAGTACGTAGTTGATGTTAAGGACGTTTAAGTAGATCATTGAACATTTTTATTTACAAATTGTTACTTTTTGAGTCCTGGTGTTCTTTTCAGGGTTTGAATTCGGCATACACGAGATGACTAGTCCCTGTGACTAGTCCCGGGAACGAGGTCCTTACGTGTGAACTGACCCATTTTGTTCAAAAAATCTGACCCCTGCGGCCAAGTGTTTGTCCCTGCGATTAGCCTCAAGAATTCAGACTAGTTTTAAATCATAATACTCGTCGCAGGGACCAGTCCTATGAAAGTTTGATTGTCCCGTCGTGTGGACTGTTTGTGCCTATACGACCAAAAACAAAAGCAGTCAATCATTGCGACTAGTTCCATCGTGTAAACACTATATGGGACTTACCCCTGCGGATAAGTTGTATGCTAATAAGCGTGACTAGTCCCTCTGTGTTTGCCGAACTTTATGAGAAAAAAATTGTCAGATACAATGAAATATATGAAGTTCATATATTTCCTGATCTTTTTCAGGTCTGATTTTCGCTATTGCTTAAATAGCGCTATCTACTGCGAGGATCGTGCATCATACGTAAAAAAATTGTCGATAGGCATGGTTAAAGTTTTAGTACGTTTTTTATCAAAGGTTAGCCTTCACAAAGGAGGAAGACGGAAGGTTTAACATAAGCCTAAATTAACGAAATCAGAGAAAAATGTCGTTTTTTTTGTTCGTTCAGGGAATGTTACTTGTCATATTTATTCTCACATGTGCCTAAATGTCATCAATCCAACTTATTTCGTTAAAAAAACACAACACTTTGTAGTCGAAAACTGTAAGTGCGTACTTGCTACCCGATACGTATTTGCTACGAAATGCGTTTTCTTAAATAAATCATGAAAAAATTCCTAAATTGAATGATACAAAATGGAGGCAGTTCTTCTTCCAAAGCACAAACCATATGTGGAAAAAAATATTTTGTTAAAAAGAAAAGAAGGAGTTTTATGAGGAATAAAAGATTACTACACCTTCAAAGTTGAAGATTTTCTGAGAAAATCTTCAACTTTAAGGTTGAGTTTACTTTATAAGCTTGGACAGGATTTTGTTAAAAAATTGACTCGTTAAAGAATGAAAAATATTTCAGATTGACGGGGGCTTGGGTGGAAACTATTTTTTCATAAATGACCGTCTGTATCTGCAGAAATCGAAAATTTATTGTTTTGGGGGGTCCTTGTACCTACGACTAAGTATTTGCTACGTTTGCCGGATAAAACCCGCGCTTTTTCCTTTGCAATGCTCGATATTCTCTTCATTTCAGTATTGCCGTCAGTAAGAAAGACTGCAAAGGCCGTACAGGCCTGAATTTTTTTCAGGTCTTAATTTCACTATTGCTTAAATAGCACTCCTCCTTGTTTCCCCACATTAGTATGGGATATCTCCCGAACTAGAAGGTTCTTTGACACGATAATAAAGTTTCTATCTATCTATACTCACTGCGAAGATCGTTCTCATATGCGAAAGACTGTAAATTTAAGCTACACATCAGCAAAACACATTTTAAGGTTGTTTGGATCATTTAAAAATGGAAAAGGAGAGAAAAGTAGCAAATAGGCAGGCAACAATCTAAAGTCAACTGGAAAGTAGTTCCGATCGTAGCTCTTCAGGGATTACGAACAAACTCAGTTGAGTTCGCGACACCAGCTTTTGACGGTCTTAATTTCGAGCACCATAATGCCAAATTGCCTATGTTGCGTTATACATTGTCCAGCGACAAGAAACAGATCTTACCTTCCATAAAGCCGAATCTGGAGATAAACTTTAACGCTGGCAAGTGATTTCATTCTTGACAACTAGCACTAGACATCATTAGGGTTTTAAAACAATTTCTCGCTGTAAATACTTAGCTTCTGCCGCTTCTGCAATCACTCAGAGGATTCATCCGTCGATTATTTTTTCAATATTTTGACTCTCAAAATACTCACGCTATACGAGGCTTAGGGACCATCTTCCGATTATCAAATTTCAGCCTTAATTCGGGATCGCCTTAGTTTACTGAAATTAAGTCACCACAGAATTAGTAACACATATTCAATTATGCACAAATCTGTGTGCGTCACTTCTGTGCAGTACTTGACACTCGTATCCTTTAGCTCAAATTATAGTATCCTTTAGCTCAATCCAGTGCCTCAATTTGGGTTTCGATGTCCTTGAGCTTCACGAGCAATTGTACCATGTGGCAGTTACCATGCATCGAAATGGGTAAAGTCTTCGTTAGAGAAATAACAAGGGTATCTGAATTGTTTTAACAAATCCATAAGGGATTAGATACGTGATAATTCTTCCTTTCTTTGCATTTTTTAAGGGGATCGGGGCGGGGAAGGGAGGAGGGGTAAAGAAAGACCGAACGCCGGCTCGCATGTGCAAGGATGGAGAGAGCTTGGGGAACTTGTTTCAAGCTTGACATTCATAAAGTGAATGTCATAAGATGAAGAAGCTTTTTCTTAGCCCTGCTCTGGTGCATCTGGTCATCATGTGTACCCTAATAAAGCACAAAGTCGGAACAACGAAATAGAAAAAAAGCTTTTCTTCGCAACTGACACAGTACAGCGTTGTCTCGATGGCATAAAAAACATGGGCTGTGATCACATTAGGTCTTTTATAAGAGCGAAGCAGTTCCATAACGAATCAGAACCTTGCTTGTTCTCACATTTCTGATTTTTGATGGAGCTATTAAAAGACTTAAGTAGAAGTAATGAATTATCGCAGACGATACTTGTATTTCGTATAACTAACTCATGTCGATCATCTAACTAATATAACTCGTGTCTCATACTTTTTGTATCACCGAGATGCAAACTAAAAATTACACGTCTCGTGCATGACCTGATAACTGATTACCTTCTAAGCTTTAAAAAGATAGACAGAAAACTGTTCAAACGATCCTTTAAAACATGTCTGCACCGTATTTCAGTTGTTTCCACCGCTTTTGTTGTACCCCAACTTATAGCCAAGCTTGTACTCTACGCATTTGATGTAGTCCCTCTCCTTCTCATATCTGGGCTCTTTAACCCACTTAACGCGTAGGTATTTCGCGCCATTGTGTCGAAATAGACATCTAACAAACTGGTCGATATTTTGAAAACCATATTTTTGATTGTTCAGTCTCTCATGGACGTCTATAGATTGGCTGAGGTAAAGGTATCTGACCACCTGTTGTCCTCTGCTTTT